ATATGTTTCCTTGCTATTGACAATTTGGAATAAATATGTCAGTATTTATGGTATTGCCAGCTTCCGATAAATTCGTATCACCAGAATCGAAAAGGTTATGATTTAATTAAATTATTATCCAGTTGTTGGATAAAATTACATGAGAGTAACGTTATCATTTTAAATTTATCATTTTACGTTCCATGGAAATTATTGTGAAGCAAAATTCGCATATCGTCTTTTGCAGGTTATAAGTACAGCAGCATCATACTTTGCATTATTAAAACAACATTCCGTTTCGTGATATATATTAATTGTGACAGTGTACACACATAGTGTAAACATTTATATGCTATAAATTAAATTGATTAGAAAAGAATATAATTCTCTAATGATAAAATCAATTAATCAGCTTTCATGAGATACATATACATAAGATGTACATAATCTAATCGTACTAAAATTTATTAAATATAAAAAACTTTCAAACTTACACATAAGGAGAAAATAATGACTATACAATGTCTCATTACTGAATTCGTAATATAAAGAGAAAGAAAGCGATACAAGCTTTTAATAAAAAAAAATTTATTTTATTTTATTAATATTCTATCGATAAATGCATATATAAATTTTCAAATGTAAATATATATATATGTATATTTTCAAGTGAGAATATTCACATTTTGCTATCGTTAAACTAAACATTTAATTTATCATCAAACATTTAATCTTTCGTTTTAATGCTTTTTTCTTACTTAATTAAAATCTTATTTTTAAATTAATTAAATACATTTTAATATAAATTTTAAAATAAATTAAATTAAATAAATAAATACACAGTAGAATCTCGATTAACCAGTGTAATGGAGGAATAAGCAATCTGAATAATAAATCGAAATTCAACGAATAATCGAACTCCGAAGAGAAATAACTAAAAATGTTTTTTTTCTATATAAAATTTCTTTCAATCAATATATTTAATTTTAATAAACAACTAATTATTTATTTCAATATTTTAATTAGCTCGAATGATTAAAACACAATGAATATTTCAACTTATAGGTAAATTTCTTCGCCAATTAATTAATTAATTCAACTTACAATTAGTCATGTCGCAGACGAATCAGATCACAAGCAAATGCACTACCTCAGTAGATCTTCTTTCGCCATAGAATGCACTTTTTCACTTTCTAAAAACACAGTGGAACTTACAAACATGTTTCTTATCCTGCATGCGAGATTTAACATGCTACATTTCCCTTTAACAAAAACGGCACAGCTGTTGACAGTAGTCTGATTTCACACACTAATTCTGGGTCTCTTTAGACTCAGAAATCATGCATAATACATCGATCCGGTTAATATACTGGCTTCCAAATAATAAAGTATAGTAGAGTATCCAGGGACTGTGATCGAGCGTTCTGTTATATTTCCTTTCCCTCTTTTCATTTCTTTCCCTTCTTTATTCTCCCTTTCTTCCGACGAATAAAATCCGTACTCTAAAATTACTACGAAGAACACGATTAGTGAATAAGGGATGCCGATAGATCAAAGTGATTGATCGTCCCCGATCAATCAATGCGAATACGGGTAAAACGAGTTCAATATCCGAACCGAGTTCAGCCGGTTGTTAACAATACGATATGAGTTTTCGCAAGACCAACGACGTATCTATCAGCTTGACGTCCATTTTTATGAAACTTGTGGGACTGTGGATAGCGGCCAACAAGTCCGAGCAACGCGTTAGAAACATTACGGTGGGTTACACGATGATAGCGATCATCTTCGGTACGTGGATACAGATTACCGATATGTGTTACTCTTGGGGCGATTTTAGTGTAAGTACACAATTAAGAAATTGATATACCACTCCGGGACGAAAAGATAGCACACTCTGTTCTCATTTTCTTACGTATCATGTATCGTAAAATAGAGAGAATGTGTAGATTATTACATCAGTATTCTCTTAATATGTCTTGTATGTCATTACCGAATGTCTTTCTTTCCTTTGTGTGTGTTTAACATGTCCGTTATAAATTAGTACAAAAATAACTTGAAATTAAAGCAAAATTTCTTTATTCTTAGTCCATGTTTCTTTATGCCTATTGACATGCTACGTGCTAAGATGATCTTATTTAATGTTACTTGGTTTAATAGTTTCTCTTCTAAGAACATACCTTGAACGTTAATCAAGGTGTTGCTGCACTCTAAAATTTCAAAACATTCTAATTGTTCGTGTAATTATATTTCTTTCTTTTTCACAGATCGTCACATATTACATGAATGTCTAATATTTTTGTTTAAAGACCTGTATTTACATCACATGCAATCTCTTATCGTTATCGATGGCATTTCTCAAGATACTCGTTCTGCTCGCTCACAAGGAAGATTTTTTCCGTTTAATTTTGTACTTGCAAGAGAGGTTTTTGTATGCGGATTACAACGACTATGAGAAAAGAATTATAATCGGCTGTAAACGAAAGTGTATCTTCTTCGTTTCATTCTTGACCATTTCCATCATGGCGACTCTTGGTGCTTACGTTCTTAAACCAATTATCGGTAAGTCGATTAATTAAAATTTTTTTATAAATATTACGTTGAACGGAAGACCAATTATAATTTATCCAAAAGTGGTAATTTATTCAATTTTATGGAGTGAGAGTGCAGCAGGTAGGATGAAGCACTTCCCCCTCCTATGAAGTTTTTACTTCATAACATATATACTTATATATTCATATTTTGCTATAAAATAATTGTCTTATTTTTTTCTGTGAACATATATAAAATAAATATTTTTATAACTGATGCCGGCTTTTCTCTCCAATATTTTTTTTTTTCGTACTAGCAGATAGAACAAACATTCCGCATAAATCGCGGTTTTAGGAATTAAAATGCATTATACTAAGAAGATAATAAAGAATCATTGAAAATCTGGCGAATATCTTGATTAATTGTGTCGTGTAGTATTAATGTCCAAATTGATCGTAAAAATGAAACAAATTTTCCGTTCAATCCAATGTGATCTAATTTACAATCCACTATCCTCATTAATACAATATATACAAAGATGAAATCATTTTCTTTTTATTTTACACAAAAGATTTATCACATCACCTGTATTTCCTTCTCATAGGGAGGAATACTTTGATATCTACATACGAAATAATAAAAAAAAAAAAAAGAAACAAGCTACTTGAACATCTATTTCAGCAAATATTTCAAGAAATGCATCAGACAGGATACTTCCATTCAACATGTGGGTTGACTTACCACTGACTGTAACACCATACTACGAAATAACGTTTGTCCTACAGGTATTGTCATATCATCACTCTGTTATCGTCATTATTTCATTAATTTCACTACTAAAAACAAGAAAATACTTAATAATCACTCAATAATATTTAATAACATTTAGTAATCACCCAATAATATTTAATAATGTTATTTGAACAAAATTCACAGGTTTTGTCCTTGTATCATATCGGGATAACTTATTTTTGCTTCGACAATTTCTTATGCATTTTAAATCTACACGTGGCTGCTCAGTTTCGAATATTGCAATACAGAATTTCCAATATAACGGATTTAATGAATAGAGAGACGCTAGAAATAAATCAGACATTCAAAGCGAGTTCATCGTGCTTCGCAAACAAATATTACGAAACATTTAAAAAGTGTATCCGGCAACATCAAGCGCTTATAGCATATTGCAAGAAACTGGAAGAAGTATTCAATTTGATCGTTCTCGTACAAATACTGGTTTTTAGTATGATGATTTGTCTCCACGGATACCAAATATTGATAGTTAGTATAATATTTACTATGATGGCCAATTACCGGTTGACATAATGCTCATTTTCACTAAGTAATTAATAATGTCGATTATTTACACAAAATTAGCACAGAGACGTAGAAAACAAGCATTATACAACTGGATAAACAGTAAAAAATCTAACAGCAAAAACCTGACAATGTGAAAAAAATTATTATTTAATCCATATTGGCCAATGTGTCATAATAACTTGTAACAAAATCTAATTTCTAGTCTAAAATCGTAGAAGTAAATACGTGTGAATTTTTTTAACGAAGATTGTCTTCATATTTGTCGATCACAGGCAAAAACATCGAATATAGTACGCACGATCTTCATCTGTCATATATCAGGGTGTCTATGCCAATTACTAATGTTCACCTACAGCTGCGACTGCATCATACGAGAAAGCTTAAACATAGCCATCGCTGTGTATAGAGGACCTTGGCCATTTTTGCCATCGACCACAAGCGGAAGGATGATGCGGAAGGATTTGACTATCGTTATCATGAGATCCAGCATACCTTGTTACCTAACAGGCAGAGGTTTTTTCATCGTGTCCCTAGAAACATATACAAGCGTAAGTAAAATTTTAACTATCGAGCCAGAAATTCATTTCTGTCACGATCCTTTGAAAGCGGCCCGAAGACTGCAAATCGTAGGTACCATTACAGTAGAATTTCGTTTATATGACAATGTGTAAATAGTATTACGTCGATGCCGTTTTCAATTACATTGCCTTCGTTTATTTCAACCAAATTTCAGTGAATTCCCAATTAAATAAACACTTGGTGATTAAATCCACTTATTGGAATCTAAACTAAATAAAACCGATATAATAAGAAACAAAAACGAACAAAAACGATTTAATTAAGAATGATGAATGATATAATTATAACAATATATATAACGATAGTTATTATTATAAATATAATTATAATATATTACAATTAATATTATATTAATAATAATTATTATATGATAATAAAGAGCCAATCCAATTTCCAACGATGCTTCACTATCTAAATTTTTATCCCTAGCTGCACCGCTATCACATCCTTTTACTCAAAGCTCTCCCTGCCGCTTCACTATGGACACCCACATTAAATTACGTTGGCTTGTTTTTTCTTTCACCATAAGCTAGTCAACATATAGTAATTAATTGTTCATCTTGTTTGTTACAGGTTTTAAGTACCGCGGCATCGTACTTTACGTTGCTAAAACAGAGTGTAGAAACAATTTCGTAATATATGTTAATCGTAAACAATGTATCTTGTACATAAAGTAATTGGTTGCTGTACATTAAAAATGAGTTTTCAATGAATAAATAAATTTAGTCTGGCAATTTTCTATCGACGAAGATACAGATATCTCATTTGCGTATATACACATTTGGATTCATTACTTCAGCATTATTTTATCAAAAAAATATTCATAGACTACTCACTGTCCCTGGATCATTTATCTCTTTCGAAAACGGGAGCTTCTTTTCTCAAACCACACACGAGACTTTAACGTCAAGCTCCATCGCCACATTCAACCACTACCCACCTACTACCACTCTTTTCACCACCCAATCCCTCCCGGGGATTTTGAATCATGCATAACTGATTGATTACATATATTACGTCCAGCATATATACCTGCAATTGCACGATCACGAATAGATACATCGTAATGGTTCTTTTATCTTTTGTTCTATCGTAGAACAGTTTAGTAATATTAACTTATAAACGAATAGAGGGCGACCCGCAGATCAAAAGCACGACGACATCGAAGTATATTCGAAACTTTTCGCTAATTAATAGATCGTATCCGATAGATTGAAATCCAATATGAGCGCGAAACATCACAAAGACATTTCTTTCAGATTAACAACTTTCTTTCTGAAAGTCGTCGGCCTGTGGTTAAGCACTACCCGCGTTGAAAAGTGGCTAAGAAATGCCGTAGTGGTGTATACTATTTTAACAATCATCTTCTCTGCGTGGATACACTCGAGAAATCTTTATTTCTCTTGGGGAGACTTTAGCGTAAATATAGGAAAATTTTTACATGTCTAACGATTGTAACTGTGACCACGGACTTTTATGAATTTATATTATATTTAAATTTTGAAAAGTGCAATTGCACAAATGCACATGATATGAAAAGAAATTTATAATATCTCCACATATAAAATATAAAACAGATATAAAATATCTACAACAATGGTTTCTATAACATTTGATACCCGAAACAATTATATATACAGTTCTATGTTTTTTTTATAATATATCCAAAAATATGATTGCGTAAATATCTGCTTATAACTTTCTCAATTTTAATGTTTCAGATCTCCTCTTACATCGTGTGCAATTTATTGGGACTGTTCACAGTTTTTTTTAAAATAGTAACTATATTTATATACAGGGAGAAGTTTTTTCGTTTAATCGTACATATGCAGGAGAATTTTTGGCATTTCAGTTACGATCAGTACGAGAACTCGGTGCTAGCGAACACGAAACGAATGTGCATCTACTTCGTCTGCGTCTTCTCAATATTCTCTCAATTCACAGTTTTTTCCTACATAATGCGCCCAATTATATGTAAGTCTGTCAATCTGCGTTTCTCAGTTCATTTCGAAAGAAGGAATAAATTCGTAAATGATCAAATTTTAGCAAATATTGGAAAGAATAAGTCAGAAAGGATACTTATATTTGATATGCATCTGGATCTACCATTGTCTATCTCACCATATTATGAAATTATGTACTTGATACAGGTATAATCATATTGCTATTTTACACATAGATCCCAAACGACTTCGTGTATTTATGAATAATTTTTACTATATCTGTACCAGACATTGGCTTTGTATCAAAATGGCGTATGTTACCTTTGCATTGACGATATATTTTGCATTATGTGCCTGCACGTAGCTGGTCAGTTTCGTATATTGCAATATAGGATGGAAAATGTTCTAAGTCCAAAGGACAAAGATAAACTCGATCAGTACGCAAATGAAGATGCCTCGATTAAGTGCTACGCGATATTTAAAAATTGCATACAGCAACATCAAATTCTCATTGAATTCTATACCACGCTCGAGGAAATATTTACAATAATCCTACTCGGGCAAGTGTTAACGTTCAGTATATTAATTTGTTTCATCGGATATCAGGCATTTTTGGTTAGTACATCATATATGAAGCAGTATTGCTTTGATATTTCCTTTATTGAAATTTATAAGAATTTGAATTCAATCAAATTTATAAAAATTTCAATTCAATCAAATTTCTAAGAATTTGAATGAATTTTTATTTCAAGTCAAACATTTGGCTTGAACAATTAAAAAGTCCTCGTAGAAAACATTGTAAGTGTCAGACACCAAATTTTCAGTCATTCTAATATTCTAATACATACGTTCTACTTGAAAACAAAAATATTTCAAGAAAACGTACTTTTGCTTTTCCATGTACGAGTAATAGAAACAAACAAGCACGTATGATATTTGCAAATTTGAATAAATAAATTGCTTCCTAAGGCAAAAAAAAAATTTGATGTTTGACACAAACGTTGTTTTCTACAAGAAATATTTAATTATCGGTGACGCATCGCAATATACAGGTGGAGTTGCCACTTTCATGGCGCATTTCTCTTGTATTATACTTAACGTCTAACATATGGCAATTATGGATCTTCACGTACAGTTGCGATTTCATGGCGCAAGAAAGCATGAATATTGCTAATGCTGCATACATCGCATCATGGATATATTTACCAATGGACAGATTTGGAAAAATGATACGAAAGGGTTTGCAATTTGTAATAATGAGATCGAGACGACCTTGCTATCTCACCGCCTGCGGCTTCTTTCCCATATCCCTTGAAACTTTCACCAAGGTAATATTATTTATAATTCTTCCTATTTTCTACAGCATTAAAAAATTAGCCCCTTTTCGTTTCAATAATTTGTCTAATAAATTGCCACAATTTTTTCCAATTATTATAATAACTTAACGTCTACATATTACAGATTATGAGTTCCGCAATGTCATATTTCACTATACTAAAGCAGCGAACAGTGGATAGAGCGGCATAACTCCTCCAGGTTTCATGTTAAATGATTTTATGTATACACATACACGAGTAAGTGAAAAACTAAAGCCAAAAAATTTGTTTATTTCGATTTGATTTCCTCGCAAATCCGTGGAACTTTAGTAATACGTTTCTTAAAATAATTACAGAAATATTTAAACAAGTGATTAAGAAACACTTAATTACATAAAACAACAAAATATTCAAATTAAACAAACAAATATGAGTAATTTTAATAAATCGTAGAAATTTTCAAATTGCTTAGATTCTCTGTAATTTTTGAATTTTAAATTGAGCAACAGTATTGAATAAAATATCTATTAATATTAATTCTCATTATTATTAATTCTCATTATTTAAATAGTGTCAGATCCCACTCCTTACATTCTAATTATATATGTATAAATTAAATTTACTTTTAGTTTACTACATCATCACAAGCACGTTGCATGATGCAACGCCAATCTTAAAGAAGGAGAGCTCAAAGAATTTTATTACCTGCTTCAACATTAAAAAATTAATTTTAAAGTAGATCATGGTATTATACGACTTGTAATTTCATCAAATGCCATTTCATGTTCAGACAATACAAAAAAACAATTTACAATTCACTATACTTATAAAGTTTTCACAATACTTATTAAATTTATAAATTTTTTAGTGGAAATTTTTCTCTGATAAGCTGTACTGACGATAAATAATTAAAAAGAAATAATATATATTCGCTTCTCAATCAAATTTTGTCACTTGAAAATGGATCAAGTGGATAACGCTAATCCTAGATCCAACGCTAATCCAAGACCTTATTGTCAATGAACAGAATTTTTAACAGAAATTTTTAATGCTGAAAATTACTTAAAATTGTTCCTCCTCTTCCGTACCGGTTAACATTGCGATAAGGCTTTGCGTATCGATAAATCCTTTGTCATTAATATACATATTATCATACGCAGAATCGACCTTCTTCAGAGTGAATTTGTCACCGTATGTCAATATAGCGTGCCTCAATCTATGAGAAAAAATGAATAATGAGTTTTACAATTTAAAGGACTATTCAATTTGTCCTCCGAGATATTTCATAAATGTTGAATATTATACAGCAGAAGAGCAATTTCAGTCAATTTTCATGGAATTCTAAACTTTTCCACATGTCTTTTTTTCTCCTTTCTTTCGAGAAATAATTTTAGATTAATAACAGCCCTCATTGCTTATCTTTCACCATCAATTTCACCATCAATCTCCGAAATGTCTCGATCTATAAAACAAATTCATGCGCCACATAGTGTGCCCCTGCAAACCATGCAACTTTCATATAAAATGTTTTTTTATACTATTTCATATAACGCCTTTCATTGTAATTTTATACCACGACCAAGTTATACCGATTGCCCTGTTATCAAAATGTCACTTGAATATATTTCTTTAAACCCGGCAACTTTTTTCGGAATAAACATAGAAAACACGCTGGATCCAGCGCGTCTAGCTTTGATGCTACTCCGACTACTTGCTCTTGAACCAGATTCTTTAGGGGTACTAGGAGTTGATGGTTTTTTCTCTGCTGATGGAGGTGCCGGCTCCGATGAAAGAGGAGCTGGCTCCTCCTTCTTTTTAGTCTTCTTTTTCTTTTCTTTATTCGCCTGAAATTACGTATAATATTTATCAGAACAACAAGATTTAATAAAAATAAAAATTTTAGATAAACTTAGGCTTACTCTTTTATACCTTTTACTTCATTTACAAATAAACGCGTAATATGATTCAATTCCTCAAATATTAAAATACGTATTTTACCAGAAAAAATTAATTATTCTCCAATATTTAACTGTTATAAATGAAACATCTAATATAGAATATAGAAATGTTCAATTTGTAACGAATTTTGAAGAATTTTCCACATCTTTTTTGTAAGTATTTCAATTCTTCTAAAAGTAAAATAAATGAAAGAATGAACTCGATAAAATATTTAATATAGCTTGCTTGCAGAACGGAACCAAGGCAAAAGTAAATATACAAATCTTGATTACATTTCAGTTCTGCGGAAAGCGAATTATAATTGAAGTAATCATGAAACAAGCGCATATTTTTCCAATTATTATCTAATATTTGTTTGGCAGTGGGCTAGCTTGGACAACGTCGAAGAAAATTCGGAAGGCGTTGCTCATAAGAGTTAAAAATAGGATCTTTCTATCATCCGTAGTATAGTTGAGAAGAAGCCAAGACAAATATAGACCGTTCATCCCGTACAGCCTCTCAAGTTACTACGTAGTTACATAATTCTTTTGCTTTTACAATGCATCCAGCAAATACACAGAAGTACGTATCATCAACCAAATTTAATTTTGATAATACAGATTTTTATAAAAACAATATTCAATATACATTAAAAGCCTACTATCATAGATATGCGGTTACATTCAGATGCCAGCTAGTTAGAAATCCAATCAAGAGAAGGACTAGAACATCGCAAAGATTTATTAAAATCCAGCAGCACATGTAACAATTTAAACACACAGATTGGAAAGCAAATAATAACTTTCAACCACGGAGTGGCTAACAGCCAGAAATCTAACGAAGAACACTATTCACACTTCATTAACACAAACATGCGATGCATGGTGCAGGTTTGTACTCTGAATTCGTTCACTAAGCATGTAATTCCGACACAATTTATTTGATTCGTGTAATTTAATCGAATATTTTTTTTCCTCTCTTTGGAAATTTAGCATTTGTGTATATACTCATTTGGATTCATTATGTTAGCATTATTCTATCAAAATAATATTCACAGACTTCTCACTGTCACTGGATCATTTATTTCGTTCAAAACGGGAGCGCCTTTTCTCAAACGACACACGAGACTTTAACATTCCACGTCAGGCTCCATCGCCACATTCAACCACTACCCACCACCCAATCCCTCAAGGGATTTTGAATCATGCATAACTCATTGATTACATATATTACGTCCAGCATATATATTTGCAATTGCACGATCACGTCGTAATGGTTCTTTTCTCTTTTGTCTGTCTTTTTTCTATCGCAGAACAGTTTAGTAATATTAACTTATGAACGAATAGAGGGCGACTCGCACATCAAAAAAGCACGAAGACATCGAACTATGTTCGAAACTTTTCGATAATTAATGGATCGTCTCCTCTATAAATTCCAAATCGGTCGTATCCGATAGTTTGAAATGCAATATGAGCACGAAACATCATAAAGACATTTCTTTCAGATTAACAACTTTCTTTCTGAAAGTTGTCGGCCTGTGGTTACGCACTACCCGCGTTGAAAAGTGGCTGAGAAATGCCGTAGTGGTGTATACTATTCTAACAATCATCTTCTTTGCGTGGATATACTCGAGAGGCCTTTATTTCTTTTGGGGAGACTTTAGCGTAAATATATGAAAATTTTTACATGTCCAACGATTGCAACGGTGACCGAGGATTTTTATGAATTTACAGGAAACTAAAGTGTGCAATAGCACAAATGCACATAATATGAAAAAAAATTTATAAAATATCCACATATAAAATATTAAACAAATATAAAATATTTACAACAATGGTTTATATAGCATTTGATACCCGAAACAATTATACATAACAGTTCTTTTTTTATTAAATTTCCGAAAATATGATTGCGCAAATATCTGCTTATAACTTTCTCAATTTTGATGTTTCAGATCTCGTCCTATATGGTGTGCAATTTATTGGGAATGTTCTTAGTTTTCTTAAAAATAGTAACTGTATTTATATACAAGGAAAAGTTTTTTCGTTTAATCGTACATATGCAGGAGAATTTCTGGCATTTCAATTACGATCAGTACGAGAATTCAATTCTAGCAGACACGAAACGAATGTGCATCTACTTCGTCTGCGTCTTCTCAATATTCTCTCAATTCACGGCTTTTTCCTATATAATCAACCCAGTTATATGTAAGTCAATCTTCATTCCTCAGTTCATTTCGAAGGAAGGAATAAATTTGTAAATGATCGAACTTTAGCAAATATTGGAAGGAATGCGACAGAAAGGATACTTATATTTGATATGCATCTAGATCTACCATTGTCTACCTCACCATATTATGAAATTATGTACTTGATACAGGTATAATTATATTTCTATTTTTTACACAAAGATCCCAAACGATTTCGTGTATTTATGAATAATTTTTATTATATTCGTACCAGGCATTGGCTGTGTACCAAAATGACGTATGTTATCTATGCATCGACGATATATTTTGCATTATGTGCTTGCATGCAGCTAGTCAATTTCGTATATTGCAGTATAGGATAGCGAACGTGCCGAGTCTAAAGATCAAAGATAAACTCGATCAGTACGCAAATGAAGATGCCTCGATTAAGTGCTATGCGATATTTAAAAATTGCATACAACAACATCAGACTCTCATTGAATTCTCTACCACGCTCGAGGAGATCTTTACAATAATCGTACTCGGGCAAGTGTTAACGTTTAGTATATTAATTTGTTTCGTCGGATATCTGACGCTTTTGGTTAGTATATCATATACGACACATTATTGCTTTGATATTTCATTTTTATGGAATTTCTTGCGTACTTAAATAAACAATATGATTTATAAGAGGTTGAATTCAATCAAATTTATAAGAATTTGAATGAATTTTTATTTAAAGCCAAACATTCGGCTTGAACAGTTGAAGAGTCCTTGTAGAAAACATTGTAAGTATCAGACACCAAATTTTCAGTCATTCTAATACATTCTATTTAAAAATAAAAATAATATATCAAGAAAACATACTTCTGCTTTTCCATATACGAGTAATTTAGAAATAAACAGAATTAAAATCTATCATATCTGCAAATTTATATACATAAATTGCTTCCTGAAAAATTTGATGTTTGACACTCACGGTGTTTTCTACAAGAACTGTTTAATTATCGGTAATGCATCATGATATACAGGTGGAATTGACACTTTCATCGCGCATTTCTCTTATATGTTTCTTATCGACTAACATATCGCAATTGTGGATCTTCACGTATAGTTGCGATTTCATGGCGCAAGAAAGCATGAATGTTGCTAATGCTGTATACACTGCACCATGGATATATTTACCAATGGACAGATTTGGAAAAATGATACGACAGGATTTGCAAATTGTAATGATGAGATCGAGACGAGCCTGCTATCTCACCGCCTGCGGTTTCTTTCCCATATCGCTTGAAACTTTCACCAAGGTAATATTATTTATAATTCTTCCTATTTTCTACAGCATTAACAAACTAGTCTCTTTTCTTTTCAAAAATTCATCTAATAAATTGTCAGAATTTTTTTCAATTATTATAATAACTTAACGTCTACATATTACAGATAATGAGTTCCGCAATGTCATATTTCACTATACTAAAGCAGCAAACTGCGGATACAGCTGGATAATTCCTCCAGATTTCATGTTAAATGATATTATATACACATACACAGGTAGGTAATGAAAAACTAAAGCTGAAAAATATTTTTATTTCGATTTGATTTCCTTGCAAATCCATGGATCGATGATCTTCTTAATGTTTTCAATAATTACAGTACTATTTAAACCAATAATTGGGTTTAAAAACTTAATTATATAAAATAACAAATTAAACTGACAAGCAGCCAGAAATCTAACAGTACACTATTCATACTTCATTAACACAAACACGCAATGTTTGGTGCAGGTTTGCACTCTGATGAATTTATTCACAAAGTATGTAATTCCGACAAAATTTAATTGTTTCGTCGAATATTTTTTTCTTTCTCTTTTTTAGAAATTTAGCCTTGTACAACATGTTCGACATATTTCCATCGATAGTCACGTGTACCATATACAACATTTTATTTCTCTCTATATATCCCAGTATTTAAGAGAAATTCAACGAACTTCTCACGTACATATTTCCTAACCGCCTGAATTCGAAATCACTTTACGGTTGTATCATGGTGTACTCGACGTTTATTAACCATTACTAATAATAATAATTATTATAGTTATATAATAATAAAAAGTTAATGCAATTTTCAATCAATGCTTCATCATCGACATTTTTATCCCGAGCTGCACCACTATAACATACCGTTTTCCTCGATGTTCTCCCTGCCGCTACACTATGGACACTCACTGAATTACGTTCTCTTGTTTTTATTTCACCACAAGCTAGTCAAACTATAGTAATCAATTGTTTATCTTGTTTGTTACAGGGTTTAAGTACCGCGTCATCGTACTTTACGTTGTTAAAACAGCGTGTAGAAGCAATTTCGTAGTATATGTTAATCGAAACAATATATCTTGTACATAAAGTAATTCGTTGCTGTACATTAAAAATGAGTACATTTTCAATGAATAAATAAATTTAGTCTGGCAATTTTCTATCGACAAAAATACCCCATTCGTGTGTTTGGATTTATTATTTTAGCATTATTTTAAAAATAATATTCACACTGTAAAGTTCTCACTGTCACTGGATCATTTATTTCTTTCAAAAACGGCAGCTCAAACGACATGGGACTTTAATATTCCTCGTCAGACTCCATCGCCACATTCAACCACTACCCAAACCCTCAGGGGATTTTGAATCATGCATAACTCATTGATTACATATATTACCATCCAGCACATATATTTGCAATTGCACGATCACGGATAGATACGTCATAATGGTTCTCTTCCTATCACAGAACAGATGACTAGTATTAACTTATGAATGAATAGAGGGCGATTCGAAGATCAAAAGCACGACGACATCCAAGTATATTCGAAACTTTTCGATAATTAATAGATCCTCTACTCTATATATTCCAATTCGGCCGTATCCGATAGTTTGAAATCCAATATGAGCACGAAACATCATAAAGACATTTCTTTCAGATTAACAACTTTCTTTCTGAAAGTCGTCGGCCTGTGGTTCCGCACTACCCGCGTTGAAAAGTGGCTGAGAAATGCTGTAGTGGTTTATAGTATTTTAACACTCGTCTTCTCTATATGGATCCACTGGAGAGAACTTTATTTCTCTTGGGGAGACTTTAACGTAAATATATGAAGATTTTTACACGTCTAACGCTTGTAATTTAGATAGGGATATTATTTCATTTTTATTTATAGGATATTTTAAAGTGTGCAATTGCGCAAATGCACATACGGAAAAAAATTTATAAAATAGCTACATATAAAATATAAAACAGATATAAAATATTTATGCAGTGCTTCTACGACATTAGATACCCGAAACAATTATCCATCAGAGTTTCATTTTTTTGTTATCATATTTTCAAAAAGATATGACTGCGTAAGTATCTGCAATCTGCTTACAACTTTCTCAATTTTAATGTTTCAGATCTCCTCTCACATCGTGTTGAATATATTGGTACTGAACATGGACTTGCTTAAAATTGTAATTATATTTATACACAAGGAGAAGTTTTTTCGTTTAATTGTACATATGCAGAACAATTTCTGGCATTCCAATTACGATCAGTACGAGAACTCAATTCTAGCAGATACGAAACGAATCTGCATCTACTTCGTCTGCTTCTTCTCATTCTTCTCTCAGTTTACGTGTTTTTCCTACATAATCAACCCACTTATGTGTAAGTCTCTCAATCTTCGTTTCTCAGCTCATTTCAAAGGAAAGAATAAATTCATAAACAATCGAATTTTAGCAAATATTGGAAAGAATAAGTCAGAAAGGGTACTTATGTTTGATATGCATATGGATCTACCATTGTCTATTTCACCATATTATGAAATTATGTACTTGATACAGGTATAATTATATTTTTATTTTACACAAAAATCCCGAACAACTTCGTGCATTTATGAATAATTTTTATTATATTCGTATCAGGCATTGGCTTTGTACCAAAATGACGTATGTTATCTTTGCATCGATGACATATTTTGCATTATGTGCTTACACGTAGCTAGTCAGTTTCGTATATTGCAATATAGGATGGAGAATGTTCTAAGTCCAAAAGACAAAGATAAACTTGATCTGGACGCAAATGAAGATGTCTCGAATAAGTGCTACGCGATATTTAAAAATTGCATACAACAACATCAAACTCTCATTGAATTCTCTACGACGCTCGAGGAGATATTTACAATAATCGTACTCAACCAAGTGTTAACGTTTAGTACATTAATTTGTTTCGTCGGATATCAAACGCTTTTGGTTAGTACACCATATATGAAGCATTATTGCTTTGATATTTCCTGTACTAAAATTTCTTGAGTAATTAAGTAAACAGTACGATTTATAAGAGCTTGAATTCAATCAAATTTATAAGAATTTGAATGTATTTTTATTCAAAGTCTAACATTTGGCTTGAACAATTGAAGAATTCTTGTAGAAAGCAATGTAAGTGTCAGACATCAAATTTTCAGTCATTCTAATATTCTAAAACATTCTACAAGAAAATAAAAATAATATATCTAGAAAACGTACTTTCACTTTTGCATGTAAGTGTAATTTAGAAACAAACAGGATTAGAACCTATGATATTTGCAAATTTAAATAAATAAATTGCTACCTGAAAAATTTGATGTTTGACACAAACGGTGTTTTCTACAAGAACTGTTTAATTATCGGTGACACATCGTGACATACAGGTGGATTTGACACTTTCATGGCGCATTACTCTTGGATGTTTCTTATTGACTAACATATTGCAATTATGGATCTTCACGTATAGTTGCGATTTCATGGCGCGAGAAAGCACAAATGTTGCTAATGCTGCGTACACTGCACCATGGACATATTTACCAATGGACAGATTTGGAAAAATGATACGACAGGATTTGCAAATTGTAATGATGAGATCGAGACGAGCCTGCTATCTCACCGCCTGCGGTTTCTTTCCCATATCGCTTGAAACTTTCACCAAGGTAATATTATTTATAATTCTTCCTATTTTCTACAGCATTAACAAACTAGTCTCTTTTCTTTTCAAAAATTCATCTAATAAATTGTCAGAATTTTTTTCAATTATTATAATAACTTAACGTCTACATATTACAGATTATGAGTTCCGCAATGTCATATTTCACTATACTAAAGCAGCGAACAGTGGATACAGCGGCATAACTCCTCCAGATTTCATGTTAGATGATTTTCTGTATACACATGTAAGTAGTGAAAAACTAAAAAAAATTTGTTTATTCCGATTTGATTTCCTCGCAAACCCGTGGAACGTTCATCTTCTAAATGTTTTTAATTATTTAAACAAATAATTAAGAAAAACTTAATTGTATAAAATAACAAAATATTCAAATTAAATTGGCCAAAAGCCAAAAATCTAACAAAGAACACTGTTAACAAACTCTATTAACAAACACGCGATGTTTGGTAGAAATCACTTTTGTTTCACTTTCGTTTCATGGTTGTATCATGGTGTTTACTTACCATGGGTAATAATAATTATTATTATAATTATATAATATAAATCATTAATGCAATTTTCAACGATGCTTCATCACCAACATTTTTATCCCTAGCTGTACCGCTATCTCATACCGTTTTCTTCGAAGCACTCTCTGCCGCTTCACTTTGGACACTTACATTGACGTTGGCCTGTTTTTGTCCCTCAATAAACTAGTCGAAATATAGTAATTAATTATTCATCTTGTTTGTTACAGGTTTTAAGTACTGCAGCATCGTACTTTACGTTGCTAAAACTGCGTGTAGAAGCAATTTCGTAATATATGTTAATCGTAACAATGTATTTTGTACATAAAGTAATTCGTTGCTGTACATTAAAACTGAATTTTCCAATGAATAAATAAATTTAGTCTGGCAATTTTCTGTCGACGATGGTACAGATACCCGATTTGTGCATATACACGGTTTGATTATTTTAGTGTTACCCCATTTGTGTGTTTGAATTTATTATTTTAGCATTATTTTAAAAATTATATTCACAGACTTTTCACTGTCACTGGATCATTTATTTCTTTCAAAACGACAGTTTCTTTTCTCAATCGACACACGAGACTTTAACATTCCTCGTCAGACTCCATCGCCACATTCAACCAATACCCACCACCCAATCCCTCAGGGAGTTTTGAATCATTAATAACTGATTGATTACATATATTACGTCCACCATATATGTTTGCAATTGCACGGATAGATACGTCGTAATGGTTCTTTTCTTATCACAGAACAGATTACTGATATTAACTTATGAACGAATAGCGGGCGACTCGAAGATCAAAAGCACGATGACATCGAAGTATGTTCGAAACTTTTCGATAATTAATAGATCGTCTTCTCTATAAATTCCAAATCGGTCGTATCCGATAGTTTGAAATTCAATATGAGCTCGAAACATCATAAAGACATTTCTTTCAGATTATCAGCTTTCTTTCTGAAAGTCGTCGGCCTGTGGTTAAGCACTACCCGCGTTGAGAAGTGGCTGAGAAATGCCGTAGTGGTATATAGTATTCTAACTATCATCTTCTCTATGTGGATGCAATCGAGAGGACTTTATTTCTCTTGGGGAGATTTCAGCGTAAATATATGAAGATTTTTACATGTCTAACGCTTGTAATTTAGATAGGGATATTATTTCATTTTTATTTATAGGATATTTTAAAGTGTGCAATTGCTCAAATACACATAATACGGTAAATTTTTAAAATACCTACATATAAAGTGTAAAACAGATATAAAATATCTACAACAATGGTTCTATGACATTTGATATCCGAAACAATTATCCATCAGAGTTTCATTTTCTTTTTTATCATATTTCCAAAGATACGACACTGCGTGAAAATCTGCAGCCTGCTTATAATGTTTCAGATCTCCTCTTACATCGCGTGCAACTTATTAGGACTGATCATGGATCTTTTTAAGATTGTAATTGTATTTATACACAAGGAGAAGTTTTTTGGTTTAATCGTACATATGCAGAAGAATTTCTGGCATTTCAATTACGATCAGTACGAGAATTCAATTTTAGCAGACACGAAACGAATGTGCATCTACTTCGTCTGCGTCTTCTCATTCTTCTCGCAAGTCACCATTTTTTCCTACATAATGAGCCCAATTATATGTAAGTCTGTCAATCTTCGTTCCTCAGTTCATTTCGAGGATGGAATAAATTCGTGAACGATCGAATTTTAGCAAATATTGGAAGGAATGTGTCAGAAAGGGTACTTATATTTAATATGCATCTGGATCTACCACTGTCTATCTCACCATATTATGAAATTACGTACTTGATACAGGTATAATCATATTGCTATTTTACACAAAGATCCCAAACAACTTCGTGTATTTATGAATAATTTTTGTTCCATTCGTATTAGGCATTGTCTTTGTACCAGGTTGGCGTATGTTATCTTTGCATCGACGACATATTTTGCATCATGTGCCTACACGTAGCTAGTCAGTGTCGTATATTGCAATATAGGATAGCCAACGTGCCGACTCTAAAGGACAAAGATAAACACGATCTGGACGCAAATGAAGATGCCTCGAATAAGTGCTACGTGATATTTAAGAATTGCATACAACAGCATCAGACTCTCATTGAGTTCTCTACCACGCTCGAGGAGATATTTACAATAATCGTACTCGGGCAAGTGTTAACGTTTAGTATATTAATTTGTTTCGTCGGATATCAGACGCTTTTGGTTAGTACATCATATATGAAGCATTATTGCTTTGACATTTCTTTTACTGAAATTTCTTGCATATTTAAGTAAACAGTACGATTTATAAGAACTTGAATTCAATCAAATTTATAAGAATTTGAATGGATTTTTGTTTGAAGTCTAACATTTGGCTTGAACAATTGAAGAATCCTTGTAGAAAGCAATGTAAGTGTCAGACACCGACATTTCAGTCATTCTAGTATTCTACTAGATATAATACATTCTACTTGAAAATGATAACAATATATCAAGAAAACATACTTTTCCTTTTCTGTGTACGAGTAATTTGGAAACAAACAAGATTGGCACCGTTGGTATCTGCAAATTTAAATAAATAACTCGCTTCCTGAAAAATTTGATGTTTGACACTCACGGTATTTTCTACAAGAACTGTTTAATTATCGGTAATGCATGTCGTGATATACAGGTGGAATTGACACTTTCATGGCGCATTTCTCTTGTATGTTTCTTAACGACTAACATATGGCAATTGTGGATCTTCACGTATAGTTGCGATTTCATATCGCGAGAAAGCATGAATATTGCTAATGCTGCTTACACTGCACCGTGGATATATTTACCAATGGACAGATTTGGAAAATTGTTACGAAAGGATTTGCAAATTGTAATGATGAGATCGAGACGAGCCTGCTATCTCACCGCCTGCGGCTTCTTTCCCATATCCCTTGAAACTTTCACCAAGGTAATATTATTTGTAATTCTTTCTATTTTCTACAGCATTAACAAATCAGTCTCTTTTCTTTTCAAAAATTCATCGAATACTTTGCCGCAAATTTTTTAATTATTATATTAACGTAACGTCTTCATGTTACAGATCATGAGTTCCGCAATGTCATATTTCACTATACTAAAGCAGCGAACAATGGATACAGCAGAATAATTCCTCCAGATTTCATGTTACGTGTACACATACACGAGTAAGTAGTAAAAAAGCCAAAAAATTTGTTTATTTCGATTTGATTTCCTCACAAATGCGTGGAACGTTCATCTTATAAATATTTTCAATAATTACAAAACTATTTAAATAAATAATTTAAAAAAGTTTAATTATATAAAATAAAAAATAAATAAACACAAGTATGAGTAATTTTAATAAATTTTCAAACTGCCTGGATTCTTTGTAATTTTCGAATTTTGAACTAGGCAACACTTTTGGGTACTATACCTATTATTAATTCTTACTATTTAAATAATGTCAGATCCCATTCCTTAAATTCTAATGACATGTGTATAAATTAAATTAAATTTTAATTTAATGTAACATCATAAGCACGTAATATGATGCAACGCCAATCTAAAAGAAGAACTCAAAATTTTATTACTTATTTTAACATTAAAAAATTAATTTTAAATTAAATCATAGTATTATACAATTTGTAATTTCATCTAATGCCATTTTATGTTCGGACAATACAAAGAAAAAATTTACAGTTCACTATGACTTATAAATTTTCATATGCAATGTAACGAGTAATTATCTAATGTATATTACAGATAAATATTATTTTATTCTTTTTACAAATATACAAAATGCAAAGAACGTAATACTTGATATGTAGATATGCAATCTCACACGAAAACATTTTGTTGAATTTATTTTTGCTGAATATATTTGTTCAGCGAATCACATAAAAACAATTTTCATTTGAAGTTGTTGAGCTTGGAAAATTTTTGCAAAAAAGATTCGTTTTTGACAAATAGATAATATTTAAAGTTATTCTTCTATACTCCTACGTTGATATCAGTGACGGATCAAAATTAGAAAAATCATTGTAAAGTTTTAAAATAATTTTATTATATGAACAATAATATGGAGAGTCAAAGCCTCGTTTTTCAGCAGATGCGCCGTTCTCACTTCCAAGAACCTAATCTGTTTGTTTCTCACGATCTTACAAGTTACATTTTTTTGTGGGTTTTCTCTGATAAGCTGTACTATACGATAAACAGTTAAAAGGAAATAATATTCGCTTCTCAATCAAATTTTGTCACTTGGAAATGGATCAAGCGGACCTAACGCTAATCCGAGACCTTATTTTCAATGAACAGAGTTTTTAACAGAACTTTTTAATGCTGAAAGTCACTTAAAATTATTCCTCCTCTTCTTCCGTACCGGTTAACATTGCGATAAGGCTTTGCGTATCGATAAATCCTTTGTCGTCAATGTACATATTATCATAAGCATCATCGACCTCCTTCGGAGTGAATTTGTCACCGTATGTCAATAGAGCGTGCCTCAATCTATGAAAAAAAACGAATAATGAGTTTTACAATTTAAAGTATTGTTCAATTTGTCCTCTGAGATATTTCATAAATGTTGAATATTATACAGCAGAAATGCAATTTCAGTCAATTTTCATGGAATTCTAAACTTTTCCACATGTCTTTTTTTCTTCTTCTTTCTTTTGTGAAATAATTTTAGAATAATAACAGCTCTCATTGCTTACCTTTCACCATCAATTTTACCGTTTACATCGAAGGTATTGAAGGCAGCAAGTACGGTTTCATCATCGTCGGTACCTAAAGTGAAAAAAAATTACGATCAATTTTAATATACATACGTATATAAACTGGTCAAGTAATCGTATTATCTGGTAAAAATATATGTTGATACCTGATCCCGACATGCGAGTTGCAAACAAATTGAGTAATTGCGTAAAATTGATAGGGGCAGGGACTTCAGCTAGCATATCGTCAAGTTCTTTATCAGTAACCAGACGACCAACATTGTCAAAAGTGGCACGGAGATCGTTCTTTCCAATTATACCATCCTTATCTTGATCCATAAGCTGGAATGCCTGGTGAACACGATTGAACAAAATCAAATATAAGACATCAATTAATTACAACTCAAACTATTAGCTATTTTAATTCTGTTCGATTGAAAATAAATCAATTGACGTTGCAACATATTAACATATTAGTATATATAATGAAATTTCATTTTATCAAAGAATATTCAGTTTCAACCCTTAAATAGACACCGTTGCAAATTTGGAACATTTTACATCATTAATCCTAAATGCACTTTAAAAAGAATTGTGTATTTAAGAATTTAACGTAATCTGTATTTACCCGACTAGCTACTAATATGTTAATATTTTACATTTAATTTTTCATATATAGTTTTATCATTTCATTTTCCTTCGCGGAAATTGCGATATTTGTGACAGCAAACGTCGGACACGAATGTTTATTGCATAATGACAAATTTTTGGATAATTATTCGTATACAAAGTTGAACTTGATCACCTCGAATAAGTAATAACGCTGTATAAAAAAACTTTTTATATATCTTCTTTCATAGGTGAAGGCGTTTCCGAGATTTCAAGGTCGTCTCTACTGATTTACGAAAACGATACATTTTTTGATTCATTAATCGATGCAGTTCGATGAATTAAAAAATATATCATTCTAAAAAAGTCTAGAAAAATGAAGATGACCTTGAAATCTCCCTCGACCTATGAAACAAATTCATGCACTACATAATGTGCCCCTGCAAACCATGCAACTTTCGTATAAAATGTTTTTCCATGCTATTTCATACAACGCATTTCATTGTAATTTTATACCTTAGAAATTATTCAAGATCAAGTTATGCCGATTACTCTGTATTATTAAAATGTCACTTGGATATACCTCTTTAAACTCGGCAACTTGTTTCTGTGTAAACATAGAAAACACGCTGGATCCAGCGCGTTTTGCCTTACGGCTACCCCGACTACTTGCTCTAGTTGAGCCAGATTCTTTAGGGGTGCTCGTAGGAGTTGGTGGTTTTTCCTCTGCTGGTGGAGGTGCTGGCTCTGGCTCTGGTGGAGGAGGAGCTGGTTCCTCCTTCTTTTTAGTCTTCTTCTTCTTCTCTTTATCCGCCTGAAATTTCGTGTAGCATTTATTAAAACCAACATGAACCGAGATTGTGAAAGTAAAAATTTTAGATAAATTTAGGCCTACTCTTTTATACCTTTTAGTGCATTTACGAATAAACGCGTAGTTCGATTCAATTCCTCAAATATTAAATATACGCATTTTACCAGAAAAAAATTAAGTATTCTCCAATATCTAACTGTTATAAATGAAATATCAAATATAGAATATAGAAATGTTCGATTTGTAACGAATTTTGAAAAATTTTCCGCATCTTTTTCGTAACATTTCTGTAAGTATTTCAATTCTTGTAAATGTAAAATAAATGAAAGAATGAACTCGATAAAATATTTAATATAGCTTACTTGCCAAACGGAAACCCAGGCAAAAGTAAATACAAATCTTGATTACATTTCAGTTCTGCGGAAAGCGAATTATAATTGAAGTAATCATGAAACAAGCGCATATTTTTCCAATTATTATCTAATATTTGTTTGGCAGTGGGCTAGCTTGGACAACGTCGAAGAAAATTCGGAAGGCGTTGCTCATAAGAGTTAAAAATAGGATCTTTCTATCATCCGTAGTATAGTTGAAAAGAAGCCAAGACAAATATAGACCGTTCATCCCGTACAGCCTCTCAAGTTACTACGTAGTTACATAATTCTTTTGCTTTTACAATGCATCCAGCAAATACACAGAAGTACGTATCATCAACCAAATTTAATTTTGATAATACAGATTTTTATAAAAACAATATTCAATATACATTAAAAGCCTACTATCATAGATATGCGGTTACATTCAGATGCCAGCTAGTTAGAAATCCAATCAAGAGAAGGACTAGAACATCGCAAAGATTTATTAAAATCCAGCAGCACATGTAACAATTTAAACACACAGATTGGAAAGCAAATAATAACTTTCAACCACGGAGTGGCTAACAGCCAGAAATCTAACGAAGAACACTGTTCACACTTCATTAACACAAACACGCGACGTTTGGTGCAGGTTTGCACTCTGATGAATCCGTTCACTAAGCATGTAATTCCGACACAATTTATTTGATTCATCGAATATTTTTCTTTCTTTTTTTTTTTTTTTTTGGAAATTTAGCCTTGTACAACAGGTCGTACATAGTTCCATCACTAGTCACGTGTACGATATGCAACATTTTGTTTCTCTCTATATATCCCACTGTTTAAGAGAAATTCAACGAAGAAGATTTTTCGTGTATTTCCTGACCGCCTGAATTCGAAATCACTTTACGGTTGTATCATGGTGTACTCGGCGTTTACTTACCATGGCTACAGTTGGTTTGTGAGAGGATGGTACGAGATGGTCACAACGAACCAACTGTCCGAATCATAGAGGTGAACTTGTCTAAGTAACTTTGGTGGCTCTCCCCCACTACATGACTGGTGCTTGAGCAGGGGTGCCTTGCCCGGGTATAACGCCAACGCCTATCTGACCATATTTAGTGCGAGCCACCTCAAAATAGCAACCCTTTCGATGTTTCGACTAAAACAGTTTGCCGAGGATTGTACCAACGACCAACGCTTTACAGCTTTTTTTCGCAGCCGAGATTTGCTTTTCAGAGCAAAAATATAAGTCAAGGATATTCGTAAAGTGATTATGACAGTGTCTCAGCATTGCTCTTCCTGTAACCCCGATACCTTGAAAGCGTCGAAGAAATCTTCCGTCACCATTTGCGGTCATCGGTGGTGCAAAGATGCTGTCCTAATTTCATCACTGTATTACTGCAAATCAAAGGAGTTATCGCAGTTATTGCATACGATAAATTTACGAATAGATGAAAAAATGAATTTTTTCTGAAAATTTGTAATTCGAAAAAAAGAATTATAAGAATTGTGGTATCAATGTTAAAAAGTTCTACCAAATATCTGTAAAATTTGTAGATTTGATATTAGACTTAATTCTGTATTATTCATTCATTCCAGACTTAACATGAATTTCCGCTTTGATTCCCATCAGAGTAATCAAAGCACGTGGTTACTAAAAATAACTGTCCGATATTTGAGAAGAGAACACATTAGAATATTCAGTATACGTTATCAAATTTTCGATATATTTTATCATTCACTTTCCTCCTATTAATTACAGAAATTTAAATAACTACCAATTCCTGTATTTATATATTTATTGAATTTATTTTATTATAAAATTCAACTCATGAACGAAGCAAAAAATCAATTTATCAAATCAGAAAAGACAATTAATTATTTACGACTATTGTACTTCTAATAATAAACTAGTATAACAGACTTAATTGTTCATTATTTATATGGCTTGGCTTAGAGCCTGGCTTGAGGTCATTATATAGAAACTCGTTAGTTTCCGTAAAAGTTTAACATAATATTGATACACATTAAATAATTAATCTTAAAAAATAATAGTAACTCAATTAATCATATTAAGTACATGTTATAGTAATGCATCTTTTAGATATTTTTGTTTTAGTTTTAGGAAAAGATGTTTGCATTATTCTTCTATCTATAAATTAAATATATTATTTTATTTGGGTTCGATATACCTTGGGGCAAAATAAAACTTGAAAAAGATTTAAAAGTTCCCAACTCTTTTAATTTTAATTTAACAACATTGAGTTGTGTATTATTTTATTTCAGTTATTTTATACTTACATTATATAAATACAATACATAAATTATAATAACTAACACGTGTTTCTAATCTATAACGTAACATATAATAACCTTCCATGAAGTATTTCTGTAAATGACGCCTACGGCTTCTTTATACTTTCTCAATAAGAAAGTCACGTACCATTTTTCTTCACGGTACCCGGAGTACCGTGCTCCCACCACAACCGCTCAGAAAAATAAGAAAGTACAAACAACGTTGCCTTGACTGGTTTTCATTGTAAGGTAACAGCTTGTAGTATGGTTTGGTTAGATCACAAATGTCCAAACAGTTAACAATTAAGACTTGAATTATTTTAGACAAAATGCTTCAAATTTGATCTTATGATGCAACAAAATGTGGTGGCTATTTTTATTAAATTATGGTGAGTGAAAGTACACATAAAAAGAAAATATATATTATTTTTAAGAGTGTTATTTTGAAACTGTTCTTTTGAAATTCGTTAAAAAGTATAAAAATAATCGAACTAATAAAAATTGCTGAATAAACAGATACATTATCGTTGTGTACCTATTTTTTTATAGTTACGATCGGGTCATCATTACGTCTCGCTGCATATATATCTTCTGGTGGGCTTCATGGAGAAATTCGATTTGAAAAAGCCTCGGAAACATCCGTAAAAATTCGATTTTCACTTCAAACGACTCTTCAGTATCCAGACCAACAATGGCTTTGGTCAGTTACTCAATTTCCTGTTGACTATACACGTATAAACGATAGATGCAGTAGGCAATATGTTGGAGAAAGGTATTTTTCTTGTTTTAAGAAATTTATCTTCGACACATTAGTATCACTTGTCACATTTAAAAAGCACTATAGTATTATAAAATAAATGTAGCGTTATCGATTTAACGGAACTTGTTGGACCAATTGATATGCCCGGAAATGAAACAGGATCAGTGGAAATTTCAGGCATAAGTTTAACCGGAGAAATGGGTTTATGGGGGAAAGGTCTAATACTTCAAGACACATATTCATCTAGAACTATTTGTGCCTCGATAACGGTAACTATTAAAATATAAAAATACAAAGAGTCAAGAAGGAAATTAACATTTCTGAAATATAAGTTATGATTCTAAATATTCTTAGGTACTAGAAAAGAACGTAGAAAAATTTGCGGAAGCACGTTTTCTCGAAAGTATAGCGGGAAACGTATGGTTTCGATGGTTGGGTGGTCATGGTGGTGATAACACGAGCGATACAATAATTTATATAAATTTGTATCATGTTAATAACAAAATACAATTACAAGGTACAAAATACACAGAACATCATTGGAAGATTTATGTAACGGATATTTTTGATATCAGTAAAGGTACAATTTCTTTCATAAAATATATTGACTTAGTAAATCATTAATTTATTTTCATTTAATATTTACTATTCAGACAAATCAAATTGCAACATTTTACAAACCGTATTTGATCCTGATAATGCTGGTAATAGTAAAGCAATTGGTGACATTGATGAGCGTTTGGGCAAGATAAAAATAGCTGTAGATCATCATAATAGATATAAAACTGTATATAAAGATTCAAAATTGTCTCTATTACCTTCTACTGATTTGCTTGGGCCTCATCGTCAATTATATTTAGTCATATTTCACCCAAAACATGACGATTCCATTTTACTGTGCAGTAAAATTAATCATAGAAAACCTATCTTTGCCAAGTAAGTAAAACTTACATAATTACATAAAGATATTATTTTTCAAATTATCTTTCGTTAAGGTAGTTAAAAATTTATATAATTAAAGATTATTTATCACATTACATTTTATAATATTCAAATTATTTAGAACTTTAATTAATGCCCATGGTATTAAAGGAGAAGTATCCTTAACTCAAGTAACTCCATTTGATCCAACATGGGTTAATGTATCATTAACACCAATTAATGATTTAGAAACACGATTGCGCTATGCTACTAAAATAAAATCATATAATATTCATGAACTACCTCCAGATCCAATGAAAGTTTCAAATAATTCTACCGAAATATGTGAAACAACTAAAAAAATATATAATCCAAGCAATATTAATATAACTGATGTACCACCAGCAGGTAAATAAATAAAACTGTTACTTTATTGTCAGTTTACTTATTTAACAATATCTATAAAATGTACATTAGGATTTGGAACTCAAGATCAATATGCTATTGGCGACCTTTCTGGAAAACTCCAAGGTCGTAAGGAAGGATCGTATCATTATGATATCTTACCAGGGAGTGCAAAACTTAGTGGAATATATTGGGATACATATCTTCCACTTTCAGGAATGTATAGTGTAATTCACAGAAGCCTTGTCCTTCACAAGTATTTATTTACACATATTTTCTATAGTTACTGCTTCATTTTCATTTTTGCTCATTAAAAAGAATCGCGCATTCTTCATCAGGTATAATGAAACTGATAATAAGAGTATCATACCATGGATTTGTGGCACTTTGAATCTTTATTTGCCAGACAATATTGAACAAATGCAAATGATGACTGCACAAGTAATATATAGATATCCTATTGTTGGAAAAATAATTTTCCGCCAATCCAAAAATGATCCCCAAATGGATACTACTATTATAATTGAAAATTTAGTTCATGCAGATGGTAATGCTTTAAATAATTCAGAGCTACACAGGTATATTTCAAAATACATACTATAAAAAATTATTATATCAAAATTATTTAATTTGATCATGAATATATAGATGGATGATTCATGATAATCCGCCAGGCAAAGATTATTATAACTGGACAGGCAGATGTTTAAGTACTGGTGAACCTTATAATCCCTACAAAGTACAACTCTAATTATATTTATTTTTTATACATAATACAGTTGCCTTCCTAAAAATATTACTCTTAAATTCACTAGGTAGAATGGAATTCAAGTTTCAATGAATATTGTTCAATGTCAGAAGTATCATTATGTCGTGTTGGTGATTTAACAAGACATGGTACAATCGATATTGCTGGAAGAAAGCTTTATGGGACCTTACTAACTCGAAGACTCTTCACAGATACAATGTTACCTTTATCAGGTCCCCATAGCATATTGGGTAAAAGTTTAGTGATATATGATGACCATGGACCTCGTTTAAGAGGAGAAAGACTAGCATGTTCAATGTAATTAGATAGAAAAAAGAGATTTTATAAAAAATATTTCTATTACACATTCTATCAGTACGATTAAAATATCAACAATTCTACATAGAATTAGTGAAACATATCGCCGCAAAGCGGTAGCAAGAGATTGGTTTGGAAATGGAGAAACTATTTCATTAAGAGGAAAATTAGAATTCTTACAACAAAATGAATATGATATAACAAATGTAGAACTAAATCTTGATGGCCTACATGGAAAAATGAGTGGATATCACGTACATATGGTAATTTATTATTTACATCACGTAAATAATAAAATTACGTTTTTATTTATTTATTTATTTTAATAAAAGTTTTTACATTTTAGACCCCAATTGAACAAGATTTAGAATTTCCATGTGAAAGTACATCCTTATATGGACATTGGAATCCATTTGATGTCAATGTAAATAACATACTATCTCCAAGAGAAGGAACAACTGATCAATATGAAATGGGAGACCTCAGTGGAAAGTTTGGTACTTTAGAAAACCGAAAAAGATACGTAAAAACTTTCAATGATACAATGCTTCCTTTATTTGGACCAACAAGTATACTAGGTCGAAGCATAGTGATTCATAAAAAAGAAAAAAATTTAAGGTGATTATATTAATATTTAAATTATATAGAGATAGAAATACACATAGATAATTTCTATTTTTAAGATGGGCTTGTTCAACTATAGAAAGAGGATATTCACCATCCGAAGCTATAGAATTAAGAGCAATTGCGTCTTTTCATCATCCACAAGGTTTTGCATATGGCTACATAAGAATGGTATTATAGATTTAAATAATATTAAAATATAAAATATATAACATTAATAATTACAGACACAACTTATTCATCAAGATGGTACACAAAGTGAAACAATAATTGAAACAAAATTACGACATCCTGGTAAACATAATCGCAATATTGTGAGTAAAACAAAATACATAATAAAAGCATTAAGAACATTTAATAACTTTTAAAGCATACAAAAATATATTATTATAGACCAAAAACCACAATTGGGCAATATATGTAAATCCTGTCGGAGTAGATGCAGCTGTTCATGTTAAAGATACTAGATGTGTAGCTGGCGGATATATATGGAATCCTTATTTTACACAACTAGCTGATCCTTTAAATGTAATATCAATCAGAAATATATAAGGTTTTATTCTTAACTAATAAAAATAATTTTGTTTTTCAGGATGATTTATACAAACAAGAATGTGGTCCTGACTTACCACTTAGATGTTATGTAGGAGATATATCAGGCCGATTAGGTCCTATTGATATAGGATTGCAAAGACAAGTTTTTACAGATTCAAATTTCCCATTAGGAGGACCAATATCTGCAATGGGAAGATCTATTGTTATTTTTGACACAAATTTTGGAACCAATAGATTTGCATGTGCCAACATTGAACCGGATAATGATATTGTAAAATATACAAACATAAGGAAACCACCTCGTTTTGTAGTGTAAGTACATATTCAACAATATTATATTCATCATTTTTTAATACAAGCATCTTTTCAATTCTTATGTCACAGGGCACAATTTTTAGAGGATGTACGAAAAATTATGGGTATCCCAGATTGGATGCTATCCATAGATATTAGAAAAACAAAAATTTTACACAATGGAGCCTGCATTCAGTTTTTAATACATTTTAAGGGTAATTGAAAAACTATACAATGTATGTAACTTTTATACATACAATTATAATTATTCTATAATTACGTATTTAGGTCCAATTGCTAACATCTTAGAACAAGATTTCAACAAACTTATATCAACTGGACGATTAGATACGCCTAGTTTGTACATTCCAGGATACGTCTCTAAAAAACGAAAAACAACTTTAGATTACCGCCAATGTGGGAGTCAGGATCCAAATGATAAAAGTAATGACTAATGTTCTGCACAAAAATAAGTATATTTATTTACTTTTTAAAATGACAATTTTTTACACCATTTTCAGATTTCAAATTTTTTCTACAAAATAGATCTTCACAACTATGTCCAAAACTTATATTAATTGTTATTTTATGTATTATTATCAAATTATTGTAACATAAAATTACTAAATTAATATAAACTAAGTTTAAATAGACAATAAAAAAATACACAATAAAAATTTTAATTAAACTATTCGTTAACAAAGAGCACAATTCTCTCTGTACACTTCAAAGGGCAACGATTATAGAGTGCGCAGTCATCGCGTACTAATGGTTCTTTCCATGGAACGATTCCTAGAAGACTATATAAAATATAGTAACAAAATTTGTGGTTACCCTGTTGCTAATACACCATTGTACATATACGTTTATATATAATTAATACATTTTACAAGAAGTTAGTTATTTATATAAAGAGTAATTCTTGAAAGAAAAGACTACAAACAATTATACTGCATAAGTGTATCTACTACTGACATTATACAAAATTATAATATGTATTCCCTGGAAGATGGTAAGTATACATTTACACTCACAATATTTATATTATTATTGGAAAATATGATACAATATTATATCTATTTATTATTTACTATTGCAAAAAAGTACATTACTTTTCTTATTTTATGTATATTAAATAATTAAAATTAAATCTTAATAATTAAAAACTGCAATTACATATATTTTTATTTAGATCAATATGATGATGAAGATACAGAAGAAATTTCAACAAAACTTTGGCAAGAAGCCTGTTGGATTGTTATTAATGCCTATTTTGATGAAAAAGGTCTTGTAAGACAACAACTTGACAGTTTTGATGAGTTTATTGAAATGTCAGTTCAGAGAATCATTGAGGATTCACCTCAAATTGATTTACAAGCCGAAGCACAACATACTTCTGGTGAAGTAGAAAATCCTATTAGACATTTATTAAAATTTGAACAAGTTTATTTGTCTAAACCTACGCATTGGGAAAAAGATGGAACTCCATCCCCTATGATGCCTAATGAAGCAAGGCTACGAAATTTGACATATTCAGCACCATTGTATGTAGATATAACTAAAACAATTGTAAAAGATAGAAACGACCCCATTGAAACACAACACCAAAAAACGTTTATAGGAAAAATTCCAATCATGTTAAGATCAAAATATTGTTTACTTGCTGGCTTATCTGATCGTGATTTAACAGAGTTGAATGAATGTCCATTAGACCCAGGAGGCTACTTTATTATTAATGGATCAGAAAAGGTACTTATTGCCCAAGAAAAAATGGCAACAAATACAGTTTATGTCTTTAGTATGAAAGATGGCAAGTACGCATATAAATCAGAAATTCGTTCTTGTTTGGAACATAGTTCACGACCTACATCCACGTTGTGGATTAACATGATGGCAAAGAGTGGAGCTAGTATTAAAAAATCTGCTATAGGCCAACGTATTATTGCGATTATTCCATACATTAAACAGGAAATTCCTATTATGATTGTGTTCCGCGCACTTGGGTTTGTGGCAGATCGCGATATTTTAGAACATATCATATATGATTTTGATGATCCTGAAATGATGGAAATGGTAAAACCTTCCTTAGATGAAGCATTCGTAATACAAGAACAAAATGTGGCCCTAAATTTTATAGGTACTAGAGGTGCAAGACCTGGAGTAACCAAAGAAAAACGTATTAAATATGCTAGAGAAATTTTACAAAAGGAAATGCTTCCACATGTAGGTATAAGTGATTTTTGTGAGACCAAAAAAGCTTACTTTCTTGGTTACATGGTACATCGTTTACTGTCAGCCTCTTTGGGCCGAAGAGAATTGGACGACCGAGATCACTATGGTAACAAAAGACTAGATTTAGCTGGACCTTTACTGGCATTCTTATTCAGAGGGCTGTTTAAAAATCTAGTGAAAGAAGTGCGATTGTATGCGCAGAAGTTCATAGATAGAGGAAAAGATTTTAACCTTGAACTTGCTATAAAAACCAAAATTATTACTGACGGCTTAAGATATTCGCTTGCCACGGGAAATTGGGGAGATCAAAAGAAAGCTCATCAAGCTAGAGCTGGTGT